GAAATGCCTACATTCTGCTGGGACACGGGCGATTTGGATGCCGTAATGGTCATGTGAACGAGCCTTGCTGAGTTTATTGGGCTGGCACCTCATGTGTGGGAGGGTTCGTCCGTCCGTGTGTGTGTGTGTGTGTGTGTGTGCGTGTGTGTTTGTGTCGGCGGCCTCTGTATGGCCTGCGGAACGACTTGTGTGTGTTGGTCGGTGTCCCATATAGAGGGATGATTTATCAGAAGCTGTGAAGGTGACGGACTCTAATGTTTCCACAAATGGGTCGTTTACGATGCCCCTTTCGCCCGGGGTCCTTCGGTCATGCACGATATTCGCTGTTCGCGTGAGACACACATTTGTTTACATGTAGTGAAACTGTTCATAAACACCTCATGACGACAGCCGCCTTCTTTGGTCCTTCTCGTGGTCGAGGCTCGTAAGGTAATACCCACCCCGATGCTTCCCCTACCTTCCCAACTACCCCGGCCCGGTGGGTGTTTCTGAACGCTCCCTAATGTGTTCCCCCCGATTAATGAGGCTCAGCATCGCCCTCCTAACGACTCGCCGCACGCAGTACTTCCACGAGGACAGGACCGCCTCGGGACCTCTCTAGGGGCGGTGAGGGACCAGTGCAGTGTGCAGTGTACCCCGCCCCCGCCTCCGCCCCCGCGCTCGCCGCCCGCCCGGGCGGGCCGTGACCCGGGCTGGCTTGCAGTTTCAGGCATGATTTGCAACAAATGAGGTGCGGCCCACGAGGCACCCCTTCAGCCTCCCCTTCGTGCCTCGCCTCGGCTCGCCGCCGCCACCCCCGCCGCCCCTCCTCGAGCCCTCCCCCCTTCTCGTGTCCACTCAACCCCTCCCATTCCACGCATATCAAAAAGTCTTGTGCCTTCAAGATATTGCTCTACATCCACTTCATTCGTCATGATTGTGATACACTTCGATTGCCGAGGCGCGGCGGTCTTGTCCGGGAGGGCTGGGAGGGGGGGGATAGTCCTCCACGCCGTGAGCACGACCCAACAAGGCGACCTTGCCGCCCTTGTTTTTTCGCCAACTTCGCGCTGACTGCAGACGTCGTCATCTGCTGTTGCCGCCTTGTTGTTTTTATTTGCATTTTTTCGATAGCTCCCCGGGCCGGCTCCATAGTTTGCTGCTAAATACACGCGGGGCGCCCCTTCTGCTCGCAGTGTAGGTGCGCACCGAGGTGGCTGCTACCTGTAACCTCAGCCGCGAGCACGCCGCCGCCGCCGCTGCCCGCCCCGCCCCGCCCGACCGGCTGCCCCCGGCGGCAAGGTTTTAATCACTCTGCCGTCATGATTAATCGAGTATCGGAGCCCGGGCCCCGGACGTGGCGAGTGTGGGCCCCGGCGGGGAGCCCTCCTGCCTGACGGCGGCCGCCGCCGGCCCGGCCCGCTGCTGGGCCCCGCGGGCCCTTTGTGTCCGCTGCTCCGCGCTCAAACACTCGCTGCGCCCGCTGCGCTGCGCCGCCGGCTGCCAATATTTGCATCGCCTAGATGAGCGACAGCCTTCCCCGCCCTGCTCCCCCTCCTCCTCACCGCCCGACCCATGACCTCCCTCAAAAGAGCCGCCCCCTAAAACAACAGCCGCACGCCTCGGCTCTGCCGCCCGCCCTTTGGGGACCGCCGGCGTGCCGCGTCTAACGAACCCCTTTCCAAAAGACGACATGAGGACTTTTTTTTCGCCCTACTTTTTATGTTTTTGTAATAGGGGAGAGGGGGTCAGATATACTGTTTTTTTCCGTTTGTGCCGCGACTTTACGACCCGGAAAACATTGTGTATGCTCGGGGGACACACTCCACAAGGAAAACGAACGTGGAAGTGTATGAAAAAGATTGTGTATATGTTATCGCTTCTCTCGTCGCTTCCGACCGAGCTTCCGAACTCGGCACCCCTTCGTCTTGTGTTTTCCTTGATATTATCTAGGTCTTCCACCGCTGCAAATCCACTCTCATCCTTCTCACTCTGTCTCTCCGGGCGCTCTCACGGCAGGGGCCCAAGGAAGGCGGAGGGTTCCGAGGGGTGAGCTTAAAAAGAACAACATAAACGAAACAAAAGCCCCGAATCCCACAAGCCGCCGCCGCCGCCTTTCGAGACTCGCCGGATTTTCTCCTTTTGTTCTGTTGCTGCTCGGTTTTGACAGAGATGAGGATGATGATGACGACGATATTACAGCGCCGGATAGAACCCTCTCGTCCCTTGCGCCCGCTCTCCACCACCGCAGCAGGTTCATTCAGTTTCTGTCAGGGATTGTAATGAATGAAACAAAATGAATGAACGACCCCCATATAGTAGCATAAGTTTCTTCAGAGGTGGCTGCACCCAAATGTACATACTTATTACTTGTGCTGGCGGCTTCCTTCAGCTTTCCATTTTCCTCCAGCACCTCAGCACGCATGCGTGCAGATGCACCCAGGCTACGCGCGCCTTTGGGCTACTGGGCGAGTAGGCAACCCGCCCGCCTGGGTGTATGCGCTACAGTCTACCTACGGGCGCTGAGCGTCTGCGAGTAATGCGTGTGGAGTTGTGCCGATATGCAAGGCATGTTTTATGTCGACTTTTGTTGAACTACCAATTGTTAGTTGTTTCTTTGGACTTCAGGCTTCCCCAGACCCAGAACGCGGGAGGGCGGTAGGGCGCGACGCCATGTTGTGTGGAGCGGAGGTAATTCCAGTAGTCGGGGAGGAGGGAGGCG